TTGTTATTAACATGCATGGCATATGAGGCGCAATTAACACTGGTACCCTTCAGGGCAAGAACAGAAAAAATCTGTACTCATTTAAGCAGAAAGAGCAGAGTCAGTCAGTCTAGAAGTGCCTCATTTTACCCATATCCAAAATGCAACATTACTGAAAATAAGAGAACAGGTCAGCATCAGCAAGTGTGTCAGCAGCACAGAAGTCAACGTAGGCCTCCTGGGCTTCACAAAGAGGTGTCCTCTTCTATGCAACTTTACCATTTAAGAACATTAAAGGGGCAGAGAAACTCTAGCTGGGGAAAATAATCAGTGTGTACCAGATATCTCCTTAGGGAGGTGGTGCCTCACTTATCCTTCACCACAGGGACAAAGGGAAATACTTTTACCAACATTTCTTATTTATATTTCTGCTATCAGGAAAAATTGAACATAAAGGACCCAAGCCTGAAAACTCTCTCAGTATAGAACTCCTACTGATTTCAAGAGCCAGCCTATGCCACTGATACTCTCATAGCTGAGATAAATTATGCTTCTCTGCCATGTTGTTCCTTTGGGCACATACCTATGGAAGACCTCTCTCAGCCTTGCCTACAGATTTTTTCCAACTAGCACCATAATACTATATCTTTGTTTAAAAAAAAAAACACCACAATTATTATTTGGTATAATAGCTCTAAAAGCTCAGTGCTGCTCCACGGAAAACCTCTTAGAAAGCTCTATTTTAAAATATAATCTATTTCTATAGGTCTTTCCCCTTAATTTTAATTATTAATTATTCTAAGGGATATTTGACTGAAAACATTATCTTTGTTTCATAAGAGCATCTGCTCGTGGGTCTCATTTCTAACCTGGAATCAACTCCTCAGTAAGTGACATGAAAATTAGTTGGTTTGGAAGTTATCTTGGCATAGACAGATATGACTTTAAGGCAAAAAAAGCCACAGGAGGGTGTCAGCATATGCCATGGTCACCATGCCTCAACTGAACACTGACAAATACATAACTGGAACAGTCTGGCTCACCTGTGTGTTAATATTGTTAAAATAGGTATTACCGTTCTAAGAATGTGTTTAGACTTTATGGAATGCTTGTGAGTTGCTGCATACCTAATTTCACTTATAACCTCGGTATCCCATACTGCAACATAATATATGACCATTTGCATCGTAAGCCTCTGCAGTTATGGAAATCAGCAGATAGGAGAAAGACATTAATTAGTGTGAAATGCTGGCATACCCTGCAGAGAAGGCCCACCAACACCTGATGTTCCAGAATAGTTCATTTAAGAGGACAAAAAGACTGTTGATTACTCTCCTCCAGTCCCATAGAGAGATGTGCAAATGTATTTCTCCCACCAGCTGAGCTGGTAGTTCAGAGAAGGGGGAAAGGGAATAAAAATCCCTGGCAAGGAGAAACTCTCTCTATGCTGCTCGGACTCTGGAGGGTAAGGTTTTCTAGGCATAAGTAAGACCTCCCCCCGTGTTCAGCCTGGGTTAGCCCTAAGGGACATATGGAGCTTGCTTATTATAGAAGTTTCTATTACCTTTTGAAACAGAAGACTAACTCATTTGAGTGTGTTTACCTGCTTTAACCTCGTAAATAACTCCTATTTCCTTTTCCTAGTGAATAAATCTTTAGATAGTTTATTAAAGGACTGGGTACAAGCATTGTTTTTGGTGTGAGATCTAAGGTGCAACGGACCTGGGGAAAGTGACTATCCTTTGAGACTGGGAGTAACCTGAATATGGTGGTGATTTTTGGTGTAAGGGACTATCTACAAGAAAGGCAAGCTTGCCTTGCTGAAAGGTAGATCAGAGTACCTGCGACTCCATGGCTAGGCTGTTAGTGCCTGAGGAGTTTACACTTGATAACTCGTTGGTGAAATTTAAGTATAGCCCTTACAGCCAATTTGGTGTTTGTGCCCTGCTTCTCAACAGTCTGCCCTGAGGTTGGTATTCATGCTCTTGAGCCACTGCAGGACAACTTGACAGAGGGAAACAGATCCCACAAAACCATTTCTAGCCCACCTACTCTCCCACTCCAGATTCACCCACTTTTGCTCCCTTCTGCCAGTGCAAGTGAAGGGAAGCATCAAGCTCTGAGTGACCAGCAACAGCAATGTTGTTTTCATGAAAATATCTTCAGCAAAGAGAAACAAGAAAAAAATAAATCGACAAAGAAGTTTCAAGTTGGACAGATACTCCAAGGTTCCCATGAGGCGTGAATGACTTTTTAATAATGATACTGAGTGTGATATCACTATATTTGATGTAGTGCTCTTCGTTAATATCAGTGTTAAGGTGTAGCTTATGCTTGGATTAGTAAATTGCCCCTTCACCAGAAGACATAAAAAGGAACTGCAAATACGATTAATAAGAAATAAAAATCAACAAGTCAGATTTACATACTGGCACTTTTTTTAAAAGTAGGTTTCTTTCTTTTTAGAACAGTTATGATTTCCTCTACTAAGCAGTTATCCTTTTCCCATCCCACGCTGGCACTCATATCCTCATCTCCACATGCAAACATGCTCGCTCACAGACAGACACATCCCATATTGTGTAAGATTACTTACAACACAATAAGCTCATTGCAGAACCTTAACATCAAGTACTATTAAATAATCAGAGTTACTAGTACTGACTGGATGCTTACAGTGTAGGTCAGCCCTGGACGAAGTCCCTCAAGGTCTGAGGGCATTCTTGAAACAGCATTATTTTCTATGTAATTGATGAAAGGAAGCCAAATGGCAATGTACTTGATTGCTTAGACATGTCTCTTCCGAAGTTGGTAATCTTTTCCACAATGAGGACATCCCAAATTTAAACAAGTCATCTTTCCAGTCTCCCCACTACCTCATTTTGACTGGCTGCATCTCTGGTTGCCACTCCCCAGTGAACAGTTTTGGATAATATTCTTGCACACGAGGAGAACACAAAGTGAAGGGTGCCTCACTAAGGCGAGACAACTTTAACAAACATACCTAAATTTAGTGGACTTTTCAGAGTATCACAGAAAATGTGTGTGTGTGTTTATATAGAGACTTGAACCTTCAGATCTTTTTATTGCTTCATTTAGGAGATGTTATAACAAACTAGTTGAAAAGTATTTACATGTGACAAAAGATGGAGCAGATCCAATTCCTATAAATGGGAATGTATCTCCCTTGTCTATATAACTCATGCTAACTTTAATACAATAGTCACCATTAAAAGTTTTTACAACCATCCTTTAAGATAAACAGTGTTCTCCATATCAAGTACAGCCCTAATCCTGCAAACATTAAGTCCATATGTAACCCCAGCAACCCTATAGAAAGGACTTGAAAAATTTACCCAGGACCTAATAGCCCAAGTATTAAACCTACTCCCCAGACAGAAAATATACTAGTGCCTGAGCTTTGCCCCTCCTACTCAGTCTTGAGCTGGTCAGATACTCACTCCCACAGGATCTTCAGGCCCAAGAAATCCCAAATGACTGAACTCCTCACCCCCAATTAATACTACATGCACACGCACACACACCTCATGTTATAATTCACTTGTATTATGAGAGCCTACACGTCTCAACCAGAACCGGGGCCCCATTTACTAGGCATTGTAAAAACATACAAAGACACAGTCTCAAAGATCCTTACTGGTCCCAGCCCTAACCCCAGCTTGGGGATACTTACTGGTTCCAACCCAAAATTCTAGCCTAGGGAGCCTGCCAACTCCAAACCTAACCAAAGCCCTGACTGGCTTATCGGCCCCAACCTCCCCCATCCCACCAACAGATAAATTCATTCTCAGTATTTACACCAAATCTTCTTTTCAAGTGGCAAGAACACTCTGCTGGGGTGACAAGGTCGTTTTGGCAGAATCCTGCCATACATGTACTAGGTGACTAACCGTCTGCCCTTTCATGCTGGGATACCTGCAAAGATGGACACGCTGAGAGCACAGCTGCCATATCCACACTTCTCATAAGGGTATGTCTTCACTGGGTTTTAGTCCAACCTCTCCCCACCATCCCCACAAAAAAACCTCTAACCAGATTAGGAGGTGCTTTAAGCCAGGGCTAGTTTAAACGGATGAGGGGGGTCAATTAGAGCCTGTTTCAACTCAGTCTGGAACCAGCAAATTTTGCAGTCGGGACACAGGCAAAAAAACAAAGTCAGACAAGTGTTGATAGTTCATAATTCCCCCAATGACCAGTTCTCCTGCAATTGACACAACTGGCTGGGAAAGAAACCTAGATCATCACAGTACAGGACCATGGGATGTGCCCCCAAACACATACGGGCAAGTGCAGAAAGAGTGAGGACAGAGTAACATAGGTAGAGCTTTGCTGAGGGGATTCTTGCAACTGCACTAGGCTAACCTGGTTGCTCAGACCCAGGTGCCAATCAACCAGGTTAACTACCAATGAAGACACACACACTAACAGTGGCAACAGCACTGGAGCTGTCTCTCTGCAGACTTAGGAAGACATCGATGCACCATTTACAATTAGTCCACATTTGGAAGGATTTCTTCAAAACCCAGAAGACCAGAAACTTAATTATTTTTTAAATGAAAGCTTAGATTCTGCAGAAGTTGATGGCACTCACCCACACAGATTCCTACTGGACTGGCCCTGGACAAGACAATTTTTTCAAGTCTTGGTCATAGGGATTACCATAAATATTGCCACTGACATAATAAATCAGTAAAATTATAAATTTTATCTATTGAGGATTTCTAATAATATTCACTGGCATTCATTCTAACTATTTAAAAATAATTTAAAGATTCTAACAGCAACCATAAGTAAGAGGGCTCCGTTATAGAAGCAGAGTTATTTCTCATCAAACACTCATACCAGAAAGTACTATCACAATCATACATTATTGCTTCATATCTGCAATTAGATTCTACACAAGTCTTACCTGACCTAAATTCTTCTAGCATGAACATCTATTTTTGATCAATAATTCCAAATGCACACAATGAACACATAATTTACATAATGCCACCTACCTGCAGCTGCTAAACACAAAATCATCAAAGCAAACACTGGAATCACACAACTTGAAGTCATTTTTGCAACACTGGGTCTTCTCAAATCAACTCCTTTTGTAGTTCTTCATGTAGATGTACTTCCTTTGAAATCAGTGGTATATGCTTTGAAATCAAGTCTTCCAGACTTTTAATTATCTACTGAGAGAGAAAAAAATATTTTAATAGAAATATGTCTTATAGAAATGTCATCTATTTAAAATTATATCTTTTTGTATCATATCTAGCAAAACAGAGATATTTCTTAAAGAAGAATTACACAAGTATATTTTACATTGCTGAATATCCTAAGTAGCAAAAGGGACACTTAGCACATAACTAATCTTTTCCCCTTTCATTTTTCTATCTTGTCCATCCTCCCAAAATAAATCACACCAGCGGTGTCCTGTTCCAATACAGCAAATAGAGCTGTATTGAAAGCTGTATTCTAATCACTGCAGGGCTGTTGAGAAGCAAACAATGCAGCACATGGCCCAACAACCTCATACTTAAGTTCCCACCCTTTTCCCTCACTAGATGACACTGAAGAGACCCCTCTGCAGGGTCCCACAGAATGGAGGAGAAGAAAGACAGTGCAACAGAAGTTCCACTGGCTGTAAACAAATTCAAACGGGAAATAAGGCATACATTAATGAGAGTCAATCATTTGAACAATTTACCAGGGCTCATGGTAGATTCTCCATCACTGACAATTTTTAAATCTAAATTGGTATTTTTCTAAAATATATGCACTAGAAATTATTTTGGGTAAATTCTATGGCCTATGCTATACTGGAGGTCAGTCTAGACTGTCACAATAGTCCCTTCTGGCCTTAGAATCTATGGGTATGTCTACACTACGAAATTAGGTCAAATTTAAAGAAGTCGATTTTTTAGAAATCGATTTTATACAGTCGATTGTGTGTGTCCCCACTTAAGACCATTAAGTCGGCGGAGTGCGTCCACAGTACCGAGGCTAGCGTCGACTTTTGGAGCATTGCACTGTGGGTAGCTAACCCACAGTTCCCATAGTCTCTGCCGCCTATTGGAATTCTGGGTTGAGCTCCCAATGCCTGATGGGGCAAAAACATTGTCGCGGGTGGTTCTGGGTAAATGTCGTCACCCCCCCCCCCCCCCCGTGAAAGCAACGGCAAAAAATCGTTTCTCGCCTTTTTTCCTGGGTTACCATGGCAAGCATGGAGCCCGCTCAGCTCACCGTACATCTCCTGAGTGCTGCCAGACGTGGTACTGCATTGCTACATAGCAGCAGCTCATTGCCTTTTGGCAGCAGATGGTGCATTACGACTGGTAGCCGACATCGTCTCCTGGGTGCTCTTTTAACCGACCTCGGTGAGGTTGGTCGGGGACGCCTGGACATAAATGGGAGACGACGATGGCTAGCAGTCGTACTGCACCGTCTGCTGCCAGCCTAAGATGTATAAGAGAGATGGAGTGGATCAAAACAATAAAGAGACCAGATTTGTTTGTATTCATTTGCTCCCTCCCTCCGTGAATAGTGGGGGGGAGGGATAGCTCGGTGATTTGAGTATTGGCCTGCTAAACCCAGGGTTTTGAGTTCAATCCTTGAGGGGGCCATTCTGTGTGACAACCCTGTAAGCCATGTTGTCAGTCGCCCCTCCCTCTGTCAGAGCAATAGCAGACAATCGTTTCGCGCCTTTTTTCAGCGCAGACGCCATAGCACAGCAAACATGGAGCCCGCTCAGATCACCGCCGCAATTATGAGCACTGTAAACACCACACGCATTATCCTGCAGTATATGCGGAACTAGAACCTGCAAAAGCAAAACCAGGCGAGGAGGCGATGGTAGCGCGGTGACAAGAGCGATGAGGACATGGACACAGACTTCTCTCAAAGTACGGGCCCCAGCAATGTGGACATCATGGTGTTAATGGGGCAGGTTCATGCCGTGGAACGCCGATTCTGGGCCCAGGAAACAAGCACAGACTGGTGGGACCGCATAGTGTTGCATGTCTGGGACGATTCCCAGTGGCTGCGAAGCTTTCACATGCGTAAGGGCACTTTCATGGAACTTTGTGAGTTGCTTTCCCCTGCCCTGAAGCACAAGAATACCAAGATGAGAGAAGCCCTCATAGTTCACAAGCGAGTGGCAATAGCCCTGTGGAAGCTTGCAACGCCAGATAGCTACCGGCCACTCGGGCATCAATTTGGAGTGGGCAAATCTACTGTGGCGGCTGCTGTGACCCAAGTAGCCAACACAATCAAAGAGCTGCTGCTATCAACGGTAGTGACTCTGGGAAATGTGCAGGTCATAGTGGATGGCTTTGCTGCAATGGGATTCCCTAACTGTGGTGGGGCGATAGACGGAACCATATCCCTATCTTGGCACCGGAGCACCAAGCCAGCGAGTACATAAACCAGAAGGGGTACTTTTCAACGGTGCTGCAAGCACTGGTGGATCACAAGGGACGTTTCACCAACATCAACGTGGGATGTCCGGGAAAGGTACATGACGCTCGCATCTTCAGGAACTCTAGTCTGTTTCAAAAGCTGCAGCAAGGGACTTTCTTCCCAGACCAGAAAATAACCATTGGGGATGTTGAAATGCCTACAGTTATCCTTGGGGACCCAGCCTACACCTTAATGCCATGCCTCATGAAGCCGTACACAGGCACCCTGCACAGTAGTCAGGAACTGTTCAACTATAGGCCGAGCAAGTGCAGAATGGTGGTAGAATGTGCATTTGGACATTTAAAAGCGCGCTGGCGCAGTTTACGGACTCAGATAGACCTCAGTGAAACCAATATTCCCATTGTTATTACCGCTTGCTGTGCGCTCCACAATAACTGTGAGAGTAAGGGGGAGAGGTTTATGGCGGGGTAGGAGATTGAGGCAAATCGCCTGGCAGCTGATTACGCGCAGCCAGACACCAGGGCAGTTAGCAGAGTACAGGAGGGCACAGTGCGCATCAGAGAAGCTTTGAAAGCCAGTTTCATGACTGGCCAGGCTACGGTGTGAAAGTTCTGTTTGTTTCTCCTTGATGAACCCCCAGCCACACCTTGGTTCACTCTACTTCCCTGTAAGCTAACCACCCTCCCCTCCCCCCTTCAATCACCACTTGCAGAGGCAATAAAGTCATTGTTGCTTCACATTCATGCATTCTTTATTAATTCATCACACAAATAGGGGGATAACTGCCAAAGTAGCATGGGAGGGGTGGGGGAGGAGGGAAGGACAAGGCCACACTGCACTTTAAAACGTATTAATGCCAGCTTTCTGTTGCTTGGGCAGTCCTGTGGGGTGGAGTGGTTGGATGCCCAGAGACCCCCCCCCCCCCACCGCGTTCTTGGGCATCTGGGTGAGGAGGCTATGGAACTTGGGGAGGAGGGCAGTTGGTTACACAGGGGCTGTAGCGGCAGTCTGTGCTCAAGCTGCCTTTCCTGAACCTCAACCATACGCCAGAGCATATCAGTTTGTTCCTCCAGTAGCCTCAGCATTGCCTCTTGCCTTCCGTCACCAAGCTGACGCCACCTATCATCTTCAGCCCACCACCTGTCCTCGCGTTCAGATTGTGCTTTCCTAGACTCTGACATTGTCTGCCTCCACGCATTCTGCTGGGCTCTTTCAGTATGGGAGGACTGCATGAGCTCAGAGAACATTTCATTGCGAGTGCGTTTTTTTCGCCTTCTAATCTTCGCTAGCCTCTGGGAAGGAGAAGATAGTGTGAGCATTGAAACATTTGCAGCTGGTGGAGGGAAAAAAAGGGAGAGTGGTAGTTAAAAAGACATTTCAGAGAACAATAAACAGTTGTTCACAGTAAACCTTGCTGTTAACATTACATAGCACATGTGCTTTCGGTACAAGGTCGCATTTTGCCTCTTATCGAGGGTGTGCCGGTTTGGTGTGAGAGATCTTTCACACAGGGCCAGGCAACAGAATTTGGCTTGCAAGCAGCCATGATAAAACACAGTCTTTTGTCTTCTTTAACCTTCATAACATGTGGGAATGGTTTCAAACAGCAGCACCCTCATTTCCCATACCAAAGCAGCCGTTGGGTTGGCCATTTAAAATGGGTTGGCCATTTAAAAGGAGGAGGGGCTGCGGTTTTCGGGTTAATGTGCAGCACAAACGCAACTAAACCCCCCCCACACACACCCCCAATTCTCTGGGATGATCGCTTCACCCCTCCCCCCACCACGTGGCTAACAGTGGGAAACATTTCTGTTCAGCCACAGGCATACAGCCCAGCAGGAATGGGCACCTCTGAATGTCCCCTTCATAAAATCACCCTATTTCAACCAGGTGACCAGGAATGATATCACTCTCCTGAGGATAACACAGAGCGATAAAGAATGGATGTTGTTTGAACGCCAGCCAACACCGGGACCATACGCTGCCATGCTTTGTTATGCAAGGATTCCAGACTACGTGCTACTGGCCTGGCGTGGTAAAGTGTCCTACCATGGAGGACGGAATAAGGCTGCCCTCCCCAGAAACCTTTTGCAAAGGCTTTGGGAGTACATCCAGGAGAGCTTTACGGAGATGTCCTTGGAGGATTCCCGCTCCATCCCCAGACACATTAGTAGACTTTTCCAGTAGCTGTACTGGCCGCGAATGCCAGGGCAAATTAATCATTAAACACGCTTGCTTTTAAACCATGTATAATATTTACAAAGGTACACTCACCAGAGGTCCCTTCTCCACCTGGCAGGTCCAGGAGGCAGCCTTGGGTGGGTTCAGGGGGTACTGACTCCAGGTCCAGGGTGAGAAACAGTTCCTGGCTGTCGGAGGAAACGGTTTCTCCGCTTCCTTGCTATGAGCTATCTTCCTCATCCCCAAAACCCGCATCCCTGTTGCGTGCTACTCCATTGACGGAGTCAAAGCACCGGGGTGGGGTAGTGGTGGCTGCACCACCTAGAATGGCATGCAGCTCAACATAGAAGCTGCATGTCTGGGGCTCTGACCCAGAGCGGCCATTTGTCTCTCTGGTTTTTTGGTAAGCTTGCCTCAGCTCCTTAAGTTTCACACGGCACTGCTGCGAGCCCCTGTTATAGCCTCTGTCTTTCATGCCCTTTGAGATTTTTTCAAATGTTTGGGCATTTTGTCTTTTTGAACAGAGTTCTGATAGGACGGATTTGTCTCCCCATACAGCGATCAGATCCCGTACCTCCTGTTCAGTCCA